TAGGATATGCAGATGTACTTGATTTGTTTTCTGATTTAGAATCAACATATCCTAATCCAGACTTATCATTTCTACTCCTAGAGTATTTTAAAAGATGTTCAAGATTCTTAGTTCCTAGGGTGAACTTTAATAAGTCTGATTTTAATGATTCATTTTCTTTGTTTAGCAGTTTTGTTTCTTCAAGACCTTTTACTAATTCTTTCAATAATTTTGTATTTTCATTTTTGAGTAAAAGATTTTCTTCAAGTAGTTTAGAAATTATTTTATTCTGTTCTCTATATGTTGTAGAGTATTTTAAAAGATGTTCATGATTCTTAGTTCATAGGGTGAACTTCAATAAGTCTAATTTTAATGATTCATTTTCTTTCTTTAGTAGTTTTGCTTCTTCAAGACCTTTTTCTAATTCTTTCAATAATTTTGTATTTTCATTTTTGAGTAAAAGATTTTCTTCAAGTAGTTTAGAAATTATTTTCTTCTGTTCTCTATATGCTGTAGAGATCTTTGCATAATCAATTAGGAGTTGATTGTATGCATGCTGAAGATCTTTGAAGTCAGATTCACTAACCTCTTCATCATCAGATTCCGATGATGAGTCTATGTCTGCCATGAGACATATGTTTGCTTGTTCATCATCTTCAGATAATGTCGTGTCTAGGTCTTCCCAGGTGGCCATCATGGCATTCTTCTTCTTGTGGAGAGTTGTCTTCTTCTTTTCTTTCTCCTTTTCTTTTTCTAGTTCTGGACATTCTGTTTTGTAATATCTTGGTTTCTTGCATTCATAGCACAGTGGCTGTAACTTGTCTCTTGGAGTTTTGTTGTATTTTCTCCAGCGTGACCCTCCTTTTTTCTTCATCATAGAGTATATCTTTCTAGACAAAATGGATATCTCATTGTCTGAGTCACACGTCTCTTCATTGCAGCTTTCATCGGACGCTTCTTTTGCCTTTAAGGCTTTCGAGGATGATGATGTAGGTTTAGCCTTTTGCACACTTAGTGCAATGGACTTTTGTTTTCTTCCTGCATCATCTTGTTGTAGCTCCATCTCATGGACTTTGAGTAGTCCTATGAGTTCTTCCAATGAGAGCTTTTCGAGATTCTTGGATGCTCTCAGGGCCGTAACTTGGGGTCTCCACTTCCTGGGTAGACTACGAAGCAATTTGTCAATATGATCAAAATTATCATAAGTCCTACCTAGAAATGAGAGTTCATTAATAATAGTTTGAAATCTTCCAAACATAGTTTAGATAGATTCATTCTCTTCCATCTCGAAGAGTTCATACTTACGGACCAACAAGCTTAGCTTGTTGCATTTTACCTCCAGGGATCCTTCATAGGTTATGGCTAGGGTATCCCACATTTGTTTGGAACTCTTGAAGCTGTGCACTTTGGTGAATTCTTCCTCAGTCAGAGCACACATGAGTGCATTTCGGGCTTTGGAGTTCAGCATTAATCTTTTTTTTTGTCCTTCATTCCAGCGTGCCTTGGGTATCTCCCTACCAACCTCGTCCAGCGGAATGTAGTCTCCCTATTCTACAACCTCCCACATGTCTATATGACATGCATCAAAGAATGCAATCATTCTTTGTTTCTAGTAGTCATAGTTGGTGCCTTTGAATTGAGATGGGTGATTCACTACCTGTCCTTCGTTTTCCATTGATCGTACCCCTGTAGTGTTAGATGCTCAACCCTAGGGGTTAAGCTCTAATACCAATTGAAGTTTAGCGAAAAACACACAAAAGGGAGGGTTGAATGTGTGTGAATGAAGGATTTTAAAAACGTTTTGGCAAAGGGACTTCTTTCCGTCTGAAAATGATATTTCAAGCACTTAGAGACTGTGCAAGATTGTTTAAAAGAAACTTTGCCTCTGAAGATCTATCATCTACTCAAAAATAGTTTCTTAAGTTAAGCAAATATAATTTCGTTTGAATATTATTTAGAAAATAAGTAGTAGACGAAATTTTCAGTGTGATATATTAATATAAAATTGTGTTTGTAAGACAAGTAAACAATGCACAAAGTTTTATACTGGTTCACTCGTCTTGAGCTACATCCAGTCTCCTTCAACTGAAGGGTTCCACTAATCACAACGGATTACAAGTATTCTTAACCACTTCTGGTTCGTCAACTTCACTCTTCGGCGCTAGTATTCTTAAACCACTTCTGATTCTCCATGTATTCATTCACTAGCCTCTTCAGCTTTACAAACAATAGATATTTTTGAGTGTGTATGCAACTCTCACAGAGAGGATAGTATGATTTCTACACTCGCTAAGGTATTCAACCTTAGTTTTACAAGGATATGTGTTTAGAGTGTGTATGTAACACTTATAGAGAAGATGGGGTATTTTCTACACTCACTATGATAAACTATCTTAGTTTTATGCAGATATTCAATTCTGAACAAGAAGAGATGTAAGTTTGTTTTGACGTTTGCTTTTTGCTTATTGCTTGTTGCTTCTCTTCTTACTCTTTCTCTTCTTAGGTCTTGATATTTATAGCCTTGTGATAATTTTGCCCGTTATTTGAATTTGAATGGGTTCATTGAGGCGGAGCTTCCCGTTGGTGCAGATAGCCGTTCGTTCATGGCTACACAAATCTTTTTTCATTTAATGCGTTTGATCTTGCATTAAATGTTTGCTTGCTAAATCTGTGTTACGTGAAGTTTTCCTTAGTAGTTTATTCACTTTTGTGTCTGACTTTAATCTTGACCTAGGTATTTCTTTTCTCTTTTCGTCAGTGTAGTCGTAGAGGTGTTGTCTTTTTCTAAAAAGTAGGTGTACTTACTTCTGACGCTCACAACTTTGACTTGTGAATTCGCACTCTTTTACTCTTCTTCTTTCTTTTCAAATTTTGATAACTCCTTGTGCTTTTCTTATAAATGGAGACGATATATGATCTTCCTCAGTGTGACTAGTGGACTTCAGACGCATTTCAACATTCTTAGTTTGCGTCTAGAATTTGGGTCTCTGTCTAATAGTTAGACTTTGACTTTTTCATTTCGTCTGATCAGTTGTGAAGATGGATGACTTTAATTTCGTCTGGAATATCTCTTCGTCTTGGGTTTTCCATCGACTGATACTTGTTTTGTTGACCTTTGTGTAGTTGACCATTGAACTTCATCTGATGTTTATTTGATGATAAGTCAACTTTTGTCTTGTTTGATATTTGTTTTTGCCTTGCATATGATTTCTTATGTTGCGCTCTGGGTTGTCATTGACATATCTTCGTCTAATGTTCGGTATCGTCTAGCGCACATCTCATGTTCCATTTATCATTTGGCTTGGTTTGATTGATCCTTGCTTCATGCTTTAGTTTTGCCTGTTTCTTATATTTATCTAAAACACTGACACATAGGTTAGTCATAACAATATGTATTATATTTGTCATGTTCAAAACCTCACTAGGAATTGCTTCGTCTGACTTAACAAGATTTTTTATCTTTTATTTTTTTTTATAAAAAATGTGTTAAGTGGCAAGAGGTACCACATATCCTAAACAGTCAACATAAGTTAATGTTAGTGAACACAATAATATTGATTATTTAAGTTATATATTAACAAAAAGGACAAGTATATGAAATACCTTGGTTGAAATTGACCTCGAAAGATGTCTTGGCTATGCAATGAAAGTCTATAAGACTTGTTCTACTAGCTCGACATTGATAGTAGGCTTAACGACTCGAGCAACAAAAGTATTGAACATCATCAAAATTCACTTTCACTTAATTGAATCCTAGTAACCAATCCTTTTTTGTATTATGTATTTTATATATTGAAATTTGATATATATATATATATATATATATATATATATATATATATATATATATATATATATATATATATATATATATATATTTATGAGGAGGGTTCAAACGACATAGGTGTAACTTTTTCTAAATATTATACCGCTCAATAACTTTATATTAAATGTAAATTTTGTAAATCCAACCATTGAATTATAATTTCATATCGTTTTATATGTTTATATTAAATTTTGTTAAAATTGAACAACAACTTGAAAGTAATTAAAATATTTATTTTTTATATTTTGAAATGTATATATTATGTCATTTTTGTTCCATAAGAATGAAGTATCAAATTATCTTGGATAAATATAAAATTTTGTATATATGATCTAAGAGGAAATAATTTTCAATCTAATGGTTGGATTTAAAATTCACATTTAATATAAAATTATTAAGCGGTGTAATACTTAGTAAAAGTTACACCGGTGTTGTTTAAACCCTCTCTCTCTCTCTCTCTCTCTCTCTCTCTATATATATATATATATATATATATATATTACACAAAGAGAGAGAGAGATTTTCCAATTATTATGTTATTTGTTGTGTAGCATTGTCATTAATTAGAATAATTTATTTGTTTAAATATATATTAATTGTAACTTGATCGAGAAATTTTGTTGAACAAAAAACATTATTCTTAAAGTATTTGTGGTCAAGTTTTATTGTTAATTACAACAACAATAACATAATGAGATTATTGTGTAAGTTAACTAATAACCAGATCTCACATATTTGTATTCGATAGTACCACTACAAGGCTTCATAATGGTATAAGTTTAAAATTAAAGATATAAAATTTTGATTTAATAACTTAATCAATGTTCAATCAAAAAAGAAATTTATTTTGCAATTCATATATAATCAGGGTCCTTTTAAAATAATTAAAAAAAATCAATAACTTATTTTGGTTTCCTTTAATTAATTAATTTATTTAATTCAATTTAATCTTTCAATTATTAAACATTCCATTTGTCTTTTTAATTTTTCCTTCCAATTAAATGAATGTAGAAAATTTGATTTACACATAGTGCACTATTTAAACTTTATTTTTCAAAATTTAAAATTATAACAAAAATAAAAGATAAACAAATATAATGTTACGAATTTGTACATTTATAATGTTCCAATCATATTGTTTCTTTTCAAATATTTTTCTTACAAAACTACACAAATAATAAAATATACACCGCGTAGAAAAGAATATTAGTTGTGTATGACTTTAAAGAATATAGTAACTTAAATCCAAATAAATAATTGACTCAACAAGTGTAACAGCACATATAGTAGAAGCTCAAAGACCAGAGGTAAATGGCACGGTTGTAGAGCCCAACCATGTTGGGCCAGCGAGGAGGCGCGAGACTGTAAACTGAGACGCTTCAGATGGGCTTTTAATCACATGAAAACCGGGCCATGTCACTCTGTTAGTTGTGGAAGCTCCAGGCCCATAGTTTTGGTACTCTCCAAAATAAAGCGTGTCTTGAGCAAAATCAGAATCATCCCACGGAGACCAACCCAATGGGTTCACCAAGGTGTCCATGAACGTTTTCATGACCACAACTCTTGAGTATTGCTGCCAGGGCCGGCCCAAGAAAGTGTTGTATTTGTCAGCAACGGGCCTGAGGTCCGGTGCGGCCCGTATTTGAGAGTTGTGGATTGAGATTCCGGTGTTTTGGAATGGGTCACCTCGTCCTTGGGCCGTGATCATGTTGGCCTGGCCCTCTAAGGGCCTTCTTGCGAAAATGTAACAGTTTTGGAACACCACTGCGGCGTTGCCAAAGATGAAGTCAACGGTGCCGTAGATGAAGCATTGACGGTAGAATTGGCGTTGTGCATGGGCCATGAGGGTGTCTTGGTGGCCAATGATGGCGCACCGGTAGAACACCGAGAGATCGGAGGCCGACCGGAGCGCCACCGCTTGACCCTTGTGAGGACCGGCGGTGTTTTGGAAGGTGATGTCGCGTGCAATGAAGTGGAGGCCATCGATGCCTGAAATTAAATTTATGGTTAGAAGTTAGGAAAAAATATAGATAAAAAAAAAGTGTTAATAATTTATTCTTTAATATTCATTTTATAATATGATTTTACTTTTATTAGGAGGTAGCCTCTCATTCTTGTTTAGTGGGTCTCGCATTTAAATTATTAAGGATGTAGAAAATTATAATACTTTAGGTAAAGTTAGTGTTATTATTTAATCAAATTTAAAATTTTATTTCAATATTATATAAGTACATTTGATTAAGATCTCATTAATATATATTGATGTAAATAAAATTTTAACTTTAATTGAAGAATCATATTAATAACATTCAGGAACTCTAAGTTTTATCCAAAATTAAATTAATAAAAAAGAGTACATTAGAGAGAGTGATAATGTGTTGCTAAGACTTTTGCTATATAATAAAAAAATTAATGAGTTTTTTTTTATATATAAAAAAACTGAACTCAATATTAAGAAATTACGACAACTTGCCTAGACTGCTCAATCAACTCAGCTAAATTTTCTAATAATGAGATGAACTAAAACTGTTTCCTATATTAATTTATTCAGTTGAATTGCAGTTTTATATATATATATATATATATACATATATATATATATATATATATATTA